AGATGTAGATGGATGGATGGATAGATGGAGATATAGATAGATAGATAATGATAGATAGATATAGATAGATAGATGGATGGATGGATGGATGGATGGATGGATGGATGGATGGATGGACAGACGGACGGACAGACAGACAGACAGATAGATGGATGATGGGGGGATAGATAGATGAGATGGATGGATGGGTGGATAGATATAGATGGATGGATGGGTGGATGATAGAAAGATAGATAGACAGATAGATGGATGATGGGGGGATAGATAGATGAGATGGATGGATGGGTGGATAGATATAGATGATGGATGGGTGGATGATAGAAAGATAGACAGACAGATAGATGGATGATGGGGGGATAGATAGATGAGATGGATGGATGGGTGGATAGATATAGATGGATAGATGGGTGGATGATAGAAAGATAGACAGACAGATAGATGGATGATGGGGGGATAGATAGATGAGATGGATGGGTGGGTGGATAGATATAGATGGATGAATGGGTGGATGATAGAAAGATAGACAGACAGATAGATGGATGATGGGGGATAGATGGATGAGCTGGATGGATGGATAGGTAGATAGATAAGTAGACAGACAGACAGATCAATAGTTAGAGACAGAAACAGAGAAAGGGATGATGGATGGATGGACAGACAGATGAATAAAAGGACTAATGGCTAAATCGATAATTAAATCCCACACATTTATTCTTCAAGCAAAGGATCAATAGTCCTCGGCTTACAGCCATTCATTCCTTCACTGGGGTCAAAGTGACAACAGCACTAACCCCCCCCCCATTTTTCACACTTACGACCGTCGCAGTATCCCCACTAACACATGATCAAAATTAGCACGCTTGGCCATGAGGCCCATATTGATAAAGGTTGCAGTTCTCCTGGGGTACTATTCCTCAATTTACGGCCACAATCAGCCTCTGATGGATCGCTCTCGACTTAAGCGCTGAACCCCAGAGTGTGACTCCCTTAACGACTGCAGTGATTCGCTTAACAACCGTGGCCAAAGAGGCCGTAAAAATCAGATGCGACTCTATTACTTATTTATCACATTTTCACTGCATCCTGAAATCCCCCACAGGGTCAACACAGGTAGTCCTCGACTTGCATCCGTTCCATTTAGCGACCAACATGACAACGGCTCTGAAAAAGAAACGAGTGACGTCCATCTTTTCCACTGAATGACTGTCGCCGCGTCACTGTGGATCCACAGTCAGATGCTTGGTGACCGACTCAGACTTACGACCGCCGGATCCCCTGTTGTGGCCTTCGGACAAGCAGGCCCTGCGATTCCCTGAAGAGCCGCAGGGATTCACTTAACAACGGTGGCCCACGTCTCACTTAGTGACGGGAAGGTGAATTGCGGTCGTAAGTCGAGGACTAGCTGGAGATGCTCGCGAGAGGAATCGCCTACCTCCTGAAGTGGTCCACCATGACTCCAACCAGCTCTCCGACCCGGTTGTCGTTGGCCGGTTGCATTTTGTGAAGACACACCACCAGGTACTTCTGCTTCTCCAGGTGGAAAACGACCAACTGGTCCTCGCCTGTGGTGACACTCAGACCGGACACCTGTGAGGGCAAAGGAGCGTTAAAGAAAGGTCGTTTGGGCAACTCTCGCCGGAGGAGGAGGAGGAGTTGTGGGGTCCTTGTGCACTGTGGTTTTCTGGTAGACGTTTCATGACCCAACTAGGTAACATCATCAGTGCTAGAAGGGAAGGGGTTGTGGAGTGGAAGAAGAAGAGGGAGAGGAGGAGGAGGGGTTTTCTTGCAGGCGTCACATGACCCACCTAGCAATGTTCTCCGTGCAATCTCTAAGGCTGGGAACGAGGCTCTCAATGTTTTGCCTCCTCTGTGAGGATCGGGCCCCCCTCACTCCGGAAACACCTTCTGCTCTTCTGCAGACCCCCAACCTCCCCCCCAAAATCAGGAGAACCCCCCCCCTGCCTCAACCCCCTTCTTACTGTGCCGAGAGCAATGGCCTTCTTGACTCGGTATTGCTTCCGGGGGTCCAGTTTGTAGAGGTGCTGGTCGGTGATCAGTAGAGCTCGATCCGTCCGTTTGTTACACCGGTTGATCTGGGGAGGTTGGGAAATGGTCAAGAAGGTCCCCACCCTGAGAAGAACCAACTTGGGACCCCCACCCTCACCTACCAGATCGAGGAAAAGAGGGGGGGAGACAGCCCACCTTGTTTGAGCCCTGGACATGGGGGACCAGGCGCCGTCCTGTGGCTGCTTCTTGCTTGCAACGAAACCAGCTTCGGGCTACTTACTGGCATCTTGGAGGTGTTACCATAGAGACTTCCAGGGATAGAGCGGACTTCTCTAAGTTGGTTGGGGGAATCTTGGCCGTGCCACACCTGTGGAGGCCGTCCTTCTAATTTGATGCTTTGGAAGTGGCATCGTAGAGACCTCCAGGGATAGAGTGGCCTTCTTGAATCTGGCACCTGCTGGTGGTGTTACCATAGAGACTTCCAGGGATAGAGTGGCCTTCTCTAACTTGGCACCTTCCAGAGGCTGGTGGACTTGGTAGTGCCACACCTATGGATGCCATGCTTCTAACTGGCACCTTGGAGGTGGTATCATAGAAATCTCCAGGGATAGAGCGGCCTTCTTTAATCTGGCACTTCCCAGATGTTAGGGGAATCAGCAATGCCACACCAGTGGAGGCCATGCTTCTATTTGGCATCTGCTGGAGGTATTATCATAGAGACTTCCAGGCATAGAACGGCCTTCTCTAACTTGGCACCTTCCGGATGATGGGAGGCTTGGCAGTGCCACACCTGTTGATGCCATGCTTCTAAATGGCACCTTGGAGGTGGTATCATAGAGACCTCTAGGGATAGAGCGGCCTTCTCTACCTTAGTTGGGGGGACTTGGCAATGCCACACCTGTGGAGGCCATGCTTTGAATTGATACTTTGGAGGTGGTATCATAGAGACTTCCAGGGATAGAGCGGCCTTCTTGAATCTGGCCGTTCCCAGATGTTAGGGGAATTGGCAATGCCACACCTGTGGAGGCCATGTTTCTAACTAGTCCATGCTTTCTGTCTCTCACGTTCTCTCTCTTTCTCTCTGTCTCTTTCTGTCTTAGACTCAGCAGCTTGAGGATGGCTTGGACTTCAATTCCCAGAATTCCCCAACCAGCCTGACCCAGGTCTGCTCTCACCTTACGCACGTGGCATGAGAACAAGACGGAACTGAAGTGCATCTTGTCTTTCAGGGCTGAGACCTGTTTGACGAACTGGGTAGCCAAGGCTGGGTTCTCCTCTGCCTGGAGAGGAAGCAAAGAGGACAGGAGGTGGGTTATCTCTTGGGGTGGGGGGGGGAGAAGAGGACAAAGAGGAGGAGGAGGACTGGGGGGGGGTCCCTTGGGGCTCTCTGAGCTGGGTAATTCTCTCTCTCTCTCTCTCTCATATCTATCTATCTATCTTTTTCTATCTATCTATCTATCCATCTATCTATCTTTTTCTATCTATCTTTTTCTATCTATCTTTTTCTATCTATCTATTTTCTATCTATCTTCTATCTTTTTCTATCTTTTTCTATTTTCTTTCTATCTACATCTATCTATTTTCATTTATATTTATATGTCTATCATCTATATTTTTCTTTTTCTATCGATCTATCTTTTTCTATCTATTTTCTATCTATCTATCTATCTTCTATCTATATTTTTCTATTTTCTATCTATCTATCTATCTATCTATCTTCTATCTATATTTTTCTATTTTCTTTCTATCTACATCTATCTATTTTCATTTATATTTATATGTCTATCATCTATCTTTTTCTATCTATCTATTTTCTATCTATCTATCTATCTATCTATCTATCTATCTTTTTCTATTTTCTTTCTATCTACATCTATCTATTTTCATTTATATTTATATGTCTATCATCTATCTTTTTCTATTTTTTTCTATCTATTTTCTATCTATCTATCTATCTATCTATCTATCTAACTTTTATCTATCTTTTTCTATCTTTTTCTATTTTTCTTTCTATCTACATCTATTTTCTATCTTTTTTCTATTTTTTTCTATCTATCTTTTTCTATCTATCTTTTTCTATCTTTTTCTATCTTTTCTATCTATCTATCTATCTATCTATCTATCTATCTATCTATCTATCTATCTTCTATCTATATTTTTCTATTTTCTTTCTATCTACATCTATCTATCTATTTTCATTTATATTTTCATCTATATTTTCTATCTATCTATCTATCTATCTATCTATCTATCTATCTATCTATCTATCCTGTCCAGAGTGAAATGCACCCTTGACTCACTTGTGGGACTCCAGGGAAGGGCCTGTGTTTCCTTGCAGCCTCTGGGCATGTGTGGATGTCTGTGCGAGGAGAAAGCTATTCTTTGTTTCCTACACACCAATTGCACAATAGATCGAAAGGTTTGTGGGGGGGGGGAAGGGAGGGAGGGAGGCTCCCCTAATCTTCTGCCTCCAGCCAAGAGGTTTCGGGAAGACATCACCATGGAGATGAGGGGGGCGTCGAAGAAAAAAGCCATTCTCTTAGATGCCCTGGGGTGCATCACCCGAACTCAGAGGCAGATAGAAAAAATAAAAAAAGAAACCCTGCTTCTGGCTTCCTAGGAAACTTCAAGGCAGGTGGGGGTTGTGGGGTGGGGTCTCAGGACAGGATAGACAGAAGAGGCTGTTAATAGCTCAGAACTGAACTGTGGGGTCCTTGGTGCTCTCTGAGCAGGGTGGATTTCTTGCAGACATTTTATCACCCAACTAGGGAATGTCATCAGTGCTGGAAGGGAGGAAGAGGAGGAGGAGGAGGAGTGAGATCTCCTGGTGGTCTCCTTTTCAAATACCAACACCATCTTGCTGTGTTTTCCAGATGTCACAGGTAGAAAACGTGTCAGTGTTTGCTACCTGTGAGGTCTCCTGGTGGTCTCCTTTTCAAATACTTATACTATCCTATTACATTTTCTAGATCAGCCCCATTTACTACCGGGAGCTGTGAGATCTCCTGGTGGTCTCCTTTCCACATACCAACCACATCCTGCTTTGCTTTCCCAATTAGCCACTTTGGCTAGCTGTGAGGTCTCCTAGTGGTCTCCTTTCCAAATGCTGAATACATCCTGCTGTGCTTTCTAAATTAACTGGGTTTGCTGGCTATGCATTTTTTTTTTAAAAAAATTAATTTTTAAAGCCAACATGAAAGGAAGGAGAAATGGAGGACAGACACTCTCACAATCCTACACTTGTCACACGGGACAACCCTACAATTTTGGATAAATCACGGATTTCTCCGATGGAGCGAAAGCCCCACTCTGGAGTAACTCCAGATCCTTGACTCACAACTCAACGTGACACACACACAAAACCCCCCACGTCAAAGCGTAAACAGATGGCAAATCTGGGGAACACACAAAAAACTAACAACCCACACCTCTCTCGTCACCCTCGCCCACCGACAGCCGGGAAGAAAAGCGTGGGCCGAGACGCGCTTATAATGTCACTAAGCGGAGCCCTTTAATTAGCTGGCATTTTCAAAGCTGGTGTGTATGTGGTTTCCTTTCCGGAGATCGTGGGCACTCCGACGCCAGAGGTTTTTAAGAAGAAATCTGGCAACTCTCATAAGGTCACCTGATCGAGCAGGGGGTTGGGCTAGATGACCTCTAAGGTCCCTTCAATGTTATTCTATGATTCTCTAAGCATCTCCTGCTTCAGCAGGAGGTTGGACTAGATGACCTTTAAGGTCTCTTCAGTGTTATTCTACTATTCTCTAAGCATCTCCTGCTTCACCAGGAGGTTGGACTAGATGACCTCTAAGGTCCCTTCCATTCCTGTTATTCCATGATTCTGTAAGGGTCTCCTGGTTGAGCAGGGGGTTGGGCTAGATGACCTCCAAGGCCCCTTCCAACTCTGTGATTCTGTTATTCTGCTTCTCACAAGGATCTTTCAATTTTGTGAAGCAACTTTTGCTCCATTTTACAACCTTCCTTGCAAGAGTTCTTAAGCGAATCACTGCAGTTGCTAGTCAACCGGTCGTTAAGTAAATCCGGGTCCCCCATTGTCTTTGCTCGTCAGAAGGTCGCAAAAAAGGGATTACGTGACCCCTGGGACACTGGGCCCATTGTAAATATGACTCAGTCGCCGAGTTTTCGAATTTTGAGCAACCTATCACGAGGGAATGCTGTGACGGTCGTAAATGTGAGACACAGACCTAAGTCCCTTTTTTCCAGTGCCTTTGTAACTTTGAGGGGGTCGCTAAATGAACCATGGTAAACTGGAGGATTCCTGTCGTTCATGGCAGATCAGACTAAAAACCCCATGTTTCATAGCTAGTCCTCGCTTTACAACCAGTTGTAAAGCAGTTAAAACTGGTGAGCGACAATTCTTTGGTATCTTTGAACCATCACTAAACGAACGGTTATAAGTCGAGAACATGCTGAATGAACTAAGGCTGCGTAAATACACAAAGGCCTTTTCTGATAGAGAAACACGTCAAAAGAAAGAACAGGTGTGAGAATCGCACAATTGTACGTACCAACACTAAATAGTTCTGTCTCCAGTTTCGGCAACAACCCCAATTTTTCCTCCGGTCTTGCAAGACGTCAAAGGCGGCAACTTTGGCTTTGATTTGGCCCATCTCGGACGGAGGGATGTTGGTCACCAGCTGCCTGGCTCGCCACCTGTAACAACACAACCGCAAGCACAATGTTTTACAACGACATGCAACGGTTCGTTTAGTGACGGTTGAAACGTGCAACGTGAATGAAATTGAGACGGTCAGGAACTTAAAGCCTTTAAGAGGGGAGGACTTTGTTTCCCAGAATCCCCCAGCCAGCAAGTTTTAACAAGGGAGGACTTCAACTCCCAGAATCCCCCAGCCAGAATGCTTTAATAGGGAAGGACTCCAACTCCCAGAATCCCCCAGCCAGCATGCTTTAATAGGGAAGGGCTTTAACTCCCAGAATCCCCCAGCCAGAATGCTTTAATAGGGAAGGACTCCAACTCCCAGAATCCCCCATCCAGCATGCTTTAATAGGGAAGGACTTTAACTCCCAGAATCCCCCAGCCAGAATTCTCTAACAGGGGAGGACTTCAACTCCCAGAATCCCCCAGCCAGAATGCTTTAATAGGGAGGACTCCAACTCCCAGAATCCCCCATCCAGCATGCTTTAATAGGGAAGGACTTCAACTCCCAGAATCCCCCAGCCAGCTATGCTTTAATAGGGAAGGACTTCAACTCCCAGAATCCCCCAGCCAGCTATGCTTTAATAGGGAGGACTTCAACTCCCAGAATTCCCTAGCTGGCTAGGGAATTCTGGGAGTTGAAGTCCATCCCTCTAAGGAAAGTATCCCAGCGGGATTACCTGCAAAAGATGAGTTTGCTGATCTCCTGGAACTGGGTCAGCACCGCTGGAGGCTCCGGCCACTCAACGGTTTTGCCATAGTCGGCCATGTTCCGCACCCCATGGAAGCGTTGTACGAGCTCCAATAAGTGAGACTTCACTTTGTGACGCTTGTAGTAGGACATGATGGTGTAGATGGCCCGTAGGTATCGGCAACGTTTGCGGGCAAGGGCTCCCCTCCAAACCTGGGTACAGAGACACGTCATAACCCTGAGCCTGAGTTGCAGAACAGGGGGTTCATTTGGGGGGGGGGTCACAAAGGCAGATTTCTGGCTCCCATAATCCCCCACTTGGATCCATGATAGTCCTCGACTTATGACCCCAATTGAGCTCCAAATTTCTTTTCCTAAGCGAGACAGTTGTTAAGTGAATTCTGTTCAGTTTTACGACCTTTCTTGCCACCACCGTTAAGTGAATCCCTGCAGTTGTTAAAATTAAGTCACACAGTTGTCTGCATCTCGGATGGTCGGAAAAGGAGATTATATGACCCCGGGATACTCTGATCGTCCAAGCATCCAAATTTTGACCACCTGACCTTGGGGATGCCACAACGGTCATTAAATGTGAAACACAGTCATACCGATAGTCCTCAATTTACGACCACAATTGAGCCTCAAATTTAAGTGAGAAATGTGTTGAGTGAGTTTGCTCCATTTCTCACCATATTTGTTAAGTGAATCAATGCCATTCCTAAATTAGCCACCCGGTCGTTAAGCGAATCAGGCTTCCCCCTTGACTTCCCTTTCCAAACGGTTGCAAGAGAGGATCACGTGACTCTGGGACGTTGCCACCGTCATAAATGTGAGTCAGCGATCAAGCATCCGAGTGGAATTCATGTAACTGTAGGGATGCCGCAACGGTCTTATTTGTGAAGAAACGGTTGTTGGACACTTTTTTCCAGTGCTGCTGTAACTTTGAACAGTCACTAAACCAACTGTCATAAGTCAAGGACTGCCTGCAGGTCACTTTTTTCAATGCCGTTGTAACTTTGAACGGTCGCTAAAGGAGGTATCGTAAATCGAAGACCACCTGAAATTCGAACCGCTAATGTATTGTGCTTGCTTGGGTTCCGTGCGTTTTGGGTCCTGGCCTCCACTGGGACGAGAAAACAATCCATGTGGCTTCATCCACTGTCTGGTGACCACAACTCTTACACACAACCCCTCATTACCTTCTGCAACAACAACACAATAATGGGTATCAGGTTGGCGCGCTCTTGTTCCAGGGAGAACAAGGTCCGGGGCGTTCGGATGAAGATCTTCGTTTCGCCGTAAGCCACGTCGTCTTGGAAGCAATGTTGCTCTATCAAAGCTTGGGTGGCTGCGCCGTCGGAGGGCATGAGGTGGTTGGGCCAGGTGTATTCACATGTCATCTTGTACCTGCGTGAAGAAGAAGAAGGTTGGAGAGTTGACTTGCTTTGACCGGACCGTAGAGGTTCTCCAGAAGACGGTCGGAGTTTCTGCAGCTCAAAGTCAACAATGCCATTCCCATCCCAAACCACGAGCCTCGGGATGCTTGTCCTAGAGATAAATGCTTCCTCAGTTTGATGTTTCTCGCGATTGGGAAATGAAAACCCACCAAGGCAAGAGCCTTGGTAGTACAGGGGTTTAAGGCACCCTGTTATTAAGCTTATTAAGACCAGCTGCCTGCAATTACTGCAGGGTTCGAATCTCCCCAGGCTCAAGGTTGACTCAGCCTTCCATCCTTTCTAAGGTAGGTGAAATGAGGACCCAGTTTGTGGGGGCAATAAGCTGACTTTGTATAAATATATACAAAAGGATGAAGGCTATTGCTTAGCGCATTGTAAGCTGTCCTGAGTCTCCGGAGAAGGGCGGCATATAAATCAAATTAAAAAAAAAAAGAAAGAAAGATGGGATCCCGCAAGGAAAAAGCTAGCAGATCGAGGAGAAAGAAGATAGCTCAGCTCCGTTCTTGGCTCTGCTCGGAACCAGGATTCACCCTGTTGGATATGTATCACTTTTTTTGTGGGGTCCATGCGGGAGTGATCTCTGAGCTTGGTTTTTTTTTTTTCCTGCAGATGTTTCATGACCCAACTAGGTAACATCATCAGTGCTAGGGGGGATTTGTGGAGAGGAGGAGGAAGGGAAAAAAGGACTATGATGTCCTTGGTGCTCTCTGATAGTGGTTTTCTTGCAGACATTTCATGACCCAACTAGGTAACATTATCAGTGAGAGGAGGAAGAGGAGGAGGAGGATGAAGAAAAGGATTGTGAAGTCTTTGCTCTTTAACCTCAGTAGTATTCTTGCAGACATTTTACAACCTAACTAGGTTACATTATCAGTGTTAGAAAGCAGTGGAATTGTATACAGCAGCAGCAGGAGGAGGAGGAGGAAGAACAGGAACAGGAGGAGGAACAGGAGGAGGAGGAACAGGAGAAGGAGAAGGAGAACTGTGGGGTCCTTGGAGTTTGCTTATTTTCATGCAGACGTTTCATGACCCAAGTAGGTAACCACATCAGTGCTACAAAAGAATGGCATTGAAGACTGTGTGCTTTGCCTTTTTCGCCATTCAACTTTTCCAAAACAGCTACAAAATGTTTACATGCCGCTTGAGATGTCCACCATTCTTTCCTGGCTGCGTCCAGGACCCTCCTCTCGTCTACTCAGCAAACAGCCGAAGATCCCAATTCCACCAAAGGTTGCCCAAGATTAACACCGGGGTCTTTTCTTCTTCTGGAACTTTTGCAAAGACTTGGCCGCAAACCTACCGGAGTAAGAAACGGTGGTACGGTTGCCTGTAGGCAAAGCCAGCCCTTCGGACCCGGACGTTCTCCAGCAGACCCAAATACGAGACTTGGTGACGGCAGCGTTCCTCATCGAACAGAAACGGGGACTTCTGGTCATTGGGCTTGATGCAACGAACGTAGTAAGGCTCCTGTTGAGAAAGGAGAATGCGTGGAGTTACACGAGGACCATCTCATGTCTTTAGTTTGCCCCGTTGTCTAAAATTGCATTTCTGGTTTGAAATAACATCAAGTTTCCTTGGGTGACATGAGCACCAATGAGTAAATTTGAAATTGGGGTGGCTTTGAGAAGTACTACTGATAGTCCTTGACTTATAACCACAATTGTGCCTCAAATTTCCATCACTAAGAGAGACAGTTGTTAAGTGAGCTCTGCCCCATTTTATGAACTTTCTTGCCAGCATTGTTAAGTGAATCCCTGTCATTGATAGTCACATGGTTGTTAAGCGAATCTGGCTTCCCCATTGACGTTGCTTGTCAGAAGGTCATAAAAGAGGATTACGTGATCCTGGGACACAGCAACCGTGATAAATATGAGTCGCTTGCCAAGCGTCTGAATTTTGATCATATGACCACAGGGATTCTGAAATGGTTGTAAGTGTGAAAAATGGTCATAAGTCACTTTTTCAGTGCTGTTGTAACTTTGAATGGTCACTTGACAAACTGTTGTAAGTCAAGGACTTACCTGAACCAAACAACTCTGGTACTGACTTCACAACCTCAACAATTCACTTAACAACGGTGGCAAGAAAGGTTGTAAAATGGGACAAAACTTATTTAACGACTGCCTCATTTAGCAATAGAAATTTGGGCTCAATTGCAGTCGTAAGTTGAGGACTACCTGTAAAAACTTGCCAACAGCCAAAAGGAGTGTGTCACATTTATTAGAGATTTTTGGCTGCTGGAGGTCTCCGATATACTGACTTTTCCAAGATTTTCGAGCTTTAAATGCTGTGGCTTTGGATTTCTATTTATGGAGGTGTTGCATAATAAACCTTTAAAACTAACTATAATCTCCATTTTAGTGTGTCTTATTTATAGCACTCCAATCATGCACAAGCTGCCATCTAGCAGACCTCTCATTTTAGCTGCCACCGAAGCTGAAAATAAACGCAGTAAGCAATGAACAACAGTCCCACTTCTTCCCCATCCATAGGCCCTCCTTCCCCAACCGGAAGGGAACTCCGAATGCTGGCTCATTCTTGACTCATGCCCAGTTCATAGTACTAGGAAATTCTGGGAGTTGAAGTCCACCATCTTAAAGTTGCTAAGGTTGGAGAACATAGAAGGAAGATCTGAGATACTTGGGAAGGTGTCCACTGAGATCCTCAGTGTCCTGTTTGCCCTAGTCTCCTTTTTGGATCCATATTCATAGGACTGGGGAATTCTGGGGGTTGAAGTCCACCTGTCTTCAGGTTGCTAAGTTTGAGGGACATAGAAGAAAGATCTCAGATACTTGGGAAGGTGTCTACTGAGGTCCTCCAGTAGCTTGTTAGCCCTGTTCACAAGACTGGGGAATTCTAGGTCCACCATCTTAAAGCTGCCATGGTTGAAAAACACAGGAGGAGGACCTGAGATACTTGGGAAGGTGTCTACTGCTAAGTTTGAAGGACACAGAAGGAGGATCCCAGATAACTGAGAAAGTGTCTACTGAGCTACCCTGGTGATCTGTTTAACCCTGTCTTTCAGAATTGTGTTCACAGCATGAAAAATGGGAGTCGGTGAACCTCAAAATTCAGAGGTCCAGAGACAGCGTGTTCCTTGCACAACGGAGGAACAGAGTGAGGTGTCCACGATCAAGAAAGTTGGTTGACCTCATGGAGAACAGGAAACAAGGTTGGGTCCCCCAACACTGTAGAACAGCGCTCCTCAAGCTTGGCTACTTGAAGATGGGTGGACTTCAACTCTACTGTCTAATGATTTGAACTCTACTGTCTACGGAAGTCCTCCAGTAGTCTGTTTGGCCCCGTTTCTCTTTTTGGAGCCCCGTTCTGAAGACTGGGTAATTCTGGGAGTTGAAGTCCAGCTATCTCCAAGGGGTCAAGCTTGAGGAACACTACCAGAAAAGAAAGATCTGAGATACCTTGGAAGCTAGGTTGTCCACCAAGGCCACGATGGAGTTCTTGAAGAGGGTGGCCGCAGTCAGGGGGCGCTTCGTCACCTCCGTGATGCTCTGCTTGCCCTCCGGCCACATCTCCTGAAGGATGGGGTCTGCGCTGGGAAAAGACGTCAAAAGAGGTTTAAAAAAATTCAAGATGGTGGCCGGGAGGAGATGAATGTCGCTGCAAAGTTGGGATTTTGCACAGATAGATCCACCTCTCGACATGAGGCGGTAAGAAGCACCGACGCTCAAACTTTTGAAATCGCCCTTAAGTGAAGCTTGGGTCCTCTCCCCGTCAGAGTCTAGAGGCTGACTTAGCATGATGGGAGTTGTAGTCTGATGTTTTTGGAGGCCTGCCAGCTACGCCAAGTAATTTCCTGAACTGACTTGCTACCAAGTCCAGCAATGGCCATTAAAAAAATAATAATAATAATACAGTAACACGGGTAGATCTCCACTTACGACCATTCGTTTAGTGACCGTTCGAAGTTACAACGGCCCTGAAAAAGATGACTTAGGACCGGTTTTTACACTTATGACCGTCGCAGCATGATCAAAATTCACACACTCAGCAACGGACTTGTGTTTATGACGGTTGCAGCATCCCGAGGTCCCATGAACCCCTTTCACGAGCTTCTGATGAGTCAAGTCAACGGGCGAAGCCAGATTCACTTAAGAACTAACTGAATCATGTGGTCCTTTTTTGGGGGGACCTTCTGACGAGCCATGAGGGAAGCCAGTAGCTGAATTAGATGATGAGGAGGTGTGGGAGTCAGAGCCAGCATCAAGGCAACCTGAGAGCTCCGAGGGGGAAGAAGGAATGGAGCTGGCAGAGAGAGAGACAGAGGTGGAGCCTGTTGTGGCTCCGTTGCCTGAGCCTGGGCTATCGACAGATGCAGACTCTGAGAGTGAGGGAGAGGAGTTGGCAAGGCCTCCCTCTCCAGGACCCTCCTCTCTGGCAATGCCTCCGGAGGACACCGAAGGCCAAAAGATAGGCTCAGAGCCAAGCACATCCCCGCAGCCACAGGTGGACAGCGACGAAGGAGATAAGTGCTGGCTGGACCCTCGGCAGAGTCGCAGGGAGAAGCGTGCGCAGCAGAGGGGAAGGCGTGCCAGAGATTAGCTGAGTCACTGGACCACACCCCACAGGGTATAAATGTGGGTGTGGAGGCCGGTTCAGTTTGTGATGAGCAAAAACTAGAAATAATCCATGATCTCTGCGTTACTGGACTTTGCCTGCTTTATCGGACTGCATTTGGATTAATCCTTGTATTGTTGAAAACTCTGCCTGTTTTATCGGAATGCTGGCAGTCTAATCTTTGTTTTGTGTGAGTAAAGTCTGAATTGGCAGCTAGCCACTGGGTTGCTGCCAGCTTTATTTTCAAAGAATTTTGTCGTGTGGCTTATTAACTCCGGGCCGTCTGTGGGGGTGCGTGAGTGGAACGGGGACAGAACAGAGCCTGGGCTGTCTGTTGGCCCCAAAAGGAGAGACAACAGCCCCCAGGTCTGGAGGTGGCTGATAAGGAAGAGGAGGAACAGCTGGGTCCAGTGCCTGATGTGCAGAAGGCAGAGGAGAGGAGAGCAGTGGAAGTCTATGGGCCAGTCCTCTTACAGAATCATGGAATAATAGAAATGGAAGGGACCTTGGAAGTCATCTAGTCCAACCCCCTGCTCAAGCAGGAGATGCTTAGAGAATCATAGAATAACAGTAAGACGAGGACTACCTGTGCGCCAAGGTCAATGGCCATACTGTCCACTTGACATCCGGGGTTTTCTTGAAATCCGGGGTTCTCCCACTGCCTCCGCCCAACCTACCTGTTGTACAGCAGTCGCTTGAAATCCTGGAACAGAGTATCCTTATTCTTATCAAGAAATCCTTCCACGGAATACCTGAAACCCAGATTCAGAGATGCAGTTGAGTGGGGTGGATCCGAGATGGATGGGAACTGCCTTCCTGTGTAGCACGATGCTCAGGGGCCTGGACTAGATGACCTCCAAAGTCCCTTCCAGCTCCTATTCCATATTCCATTCCATTCCGTTCTGTTCCGTTCCATCCTCTTCTGTTCTATAGCAAACTAGTGCAAATCTATGTTTGTCAAAATTGGTTGCTTTAAGATGGATGGACTTCAACTCCCAGAATTCCCTAGCTAGCATGCATGGACTTCAACTCCCAGAATTCCCTAGCCAGCATGCATGGACTTCAAGTCCCAGCATGGGTAGATGTCAATTCCCATAATTCAACAGCTAGCATAGGCATACTTCAACTCCCAGAATTCCCCAATTGGCATGCATGGACTTCAACTCCCAGAATTCTCTAGCTAGCATCGTCTTTTAATGATCCCATAATCACTTGTGGGGTGGAGTCTGGGCAGCTGAGTGTTTACTGGCCGGATGCCTTTCCTGTCGCCAATGCGGAGTTATGTTCATCAGACATAATCCCAACGGGCCAGAGAGAGAAATATCTGCCTCTATCTAGGATCGAACTCACAGCCTCCTGATTGTGAGGCAAGAGCTGCACCTCTAGGCCCCCGCACCACTCCCAATTCCGCAGCTAGCATGGGTGGAGATTAATTCCCAGAATTCAACAGGCAGAATGCTTGGACTTCAACTCCCAGAATTCCCCAACCACCACCATGCTTCTTCAACCAGCAGAAGAGGAAGTAAGGGAAAGGATTAAGAAAAGACACTTGCGTAACGTCTCCTGCGTAATGCTTGATCCGGAAATCGCGTCCGTACTCCATGGATTTGTCAGAGGAATTGAGCTGTGGGAACACGCAAGCCGAACTGGTCAAGGTGTGATTGTGTGATGGATGTATCATTTCCCCTGCTCACACAATCCCAATTGTTTTCATGTGGCAAAGTCGAAAACGGCACAAAAAGGGGGGATTGTGTAGATTGGATTTATTTATTTATTTATTTATTTATTGGTTCGATTTAGATGCGGCCCTTCTCCGGAGACTCAGGGCGGCTTACAATGCGTTAAGCAATAGCCTTCATACTTTTGTACATACCTGCTTAGTAGGGCTTTTGCCCCCCCCCAAAAGCGGTGTTCTTTTTTATACAAAGTCACCTTATTGCCCCCACAATCCGGGTCCTCATTTTACCTACCTCGGAAGGATGGAAGGCTGAGTCAACCTTGAGCCTGGTGAGATTCGAACCTGCAGTAATTGCAGGCAGCTGGTGCAATTTAACAGCACTTTAGTCTGCTGCGCCACCAAGGCTCTTGGTGGAATCCACCAAGGTAAGTGGATTCACTTACCAACCACATTTTTCACTTCACAATTGTGGTGACTCCATTTACAACCATCGTAGAAATGGTCATAACATCGAGTCAGCTCACATGATTATCCGCTTCATCAACACCTCGACCTATGACCAAAATTCCAATGACCCAATTGTGGTTGGAAATTGAAGACTGGCTGTAACGGTTGAAATTTCTAACTTGGCTTTTACAAAGCAAATTCAATCGATCAATCAGAAGTGAGCTGGAAGGCACCTTGAAGGTCATCTAGTCTAACCCCCCCCCCCCGCTCGAGCGGGAGACCCTAGGCCATTTCAGACAAGTGCTCGTCTAGTCTCTTCTTCAAAATTCAAAAGCAAAATCGAGAAAAAAACTTTACATATTTGAATAAAAATATCGAAAATCCAAGAGTATATGTACATTTATTTTAATAAGGTAACTCAATTTTGTATATTTTTCCTATGGATGTGAAAAATTGTGCATTCAACGGCACCGTTTGTAAAATAAAGGACAAAAGTGATGTTTTTTTGAAAGATAAATAAATCTAAAGAAGAGACTGGACAGTCGCTTGTCTGAAATGGCATAAGATCTCCTGCTTCAGCAGTGGGCTGGACTAGACCTCCAAGATCCCTTACAGTTCAATTCTGATTCTGTTTCCGATTTTAAAGGAAAACTTTATATAATAGTATGATCAACTTACGACCATTTGTTTAGTGGCTTTTCAAAAGTTACAATGAAACTGAAAAACATGACTTATGACTAGTCCTCGCACTTTAGACCATTGTGGCATTCCCCACAAACACATCGTCAAATTTTGGCACTCGGTTACTGGAATGTATTTAGGATGGTTGCATCATCCCGGGGGTCACGTGATAGCCATTTGCAACCTTCCCAGCCAGCTTCTGACAAGTGAAGTCAATTGAGGAAGCTGGTTTCACTTAACAACGGTGTGATTCGTTTAACAATGGCAGCGATTCGCTGAACCCAAAAGCTCGGGAACTCAGGAACAACTCACTGAAAAACTTCTTTCCTTAGCAACGGAGATTCTGGTTCATGCTACAGTCGTAAGTCGAGGACTGCCTGTCACCAATTGCCTGCCCCCTTTCCTCCCTATAGCTGCCCTGGGTTCGAATTGCACTGTTGCTTTCTTTAACTTTAACTAAGTCCCTATGCTGCTGCAGTGTCACCCAGATTATTCAGAAAAGAACACAAACCCAACCTTCCCTCCCCGAAAAGTGTCCCTACGTGATCGCCAAATTTTGTTCCCCTTATCCTTTACGGGAGCAGTAAAGGATCCTCGGATTATCTTCCTTATGGGATATTACTCCTCTTACCTTCCTGCTGGTATAATGAGGGTGTTTGCCAAGCCTGTTATCCATGCTCTCCAAGAATAGGGCATCGGTGACTTTTCCTACGGTCAAGCAAGCTTCGTCCAGGATGGCGATGATCCCCTTGTGCGGCTCTTCCACCAGATCGACAATGATTTGATTGTCAAAATATTCAATCTGTCAAGAGAAGGCAGAGTTGATGCTTGGCAAGGGAAGGCTTAAAGCAGATTACTCCCCCCCCCAAAAAAAATTTGGCTGCTTTAAGGTGTGTGGACTACAACTCCCAGAATTCCCCCCTCCCCCCAATCATGCTGGCGGGGGAATTCTGGGAGCTGAAGTTCACAAATCTTAAAAGTTGTACAGGTTGAGAATGACCACTCTAGAGAGTGTGAAATTTGAAAAACTGCTTTCTCCACTATAGGTACAAATGTTGACTTACAACATTTCATTTAATGACCATTCAAAGTTACGATGGTTCTGAAAAAGGGGACTTATGACCGGTCCTTGACTTACAATCACTCATTTAATGAAAAGGGACTTATGACTAGTCTTCGACTTACAACCATTCATTTAATGACGGTTCAAAGTTACAACAATGCTGATAAAAAGGGACTTAGGGTCATTCCTCACACTTACGACTGTTGCAGAGCCCTCACGATCACATGATCAAAATCTGGGCACTGGGCAACTGGCATGTATTTATGATGGTTGCAAAGTCCTGGATTCAAGTGATCGTCTTTTGTGACCTTCCTACCAGATTCAATGGGGGGAATGGGATTTGCTTAAGGACTGCATGATTCACTTAACAACCGTGGCAAAAAAATATATCGTAAAATCGGGCACAATTCACTTAACAATCGGATCGCTTAGTGATGGAAATTCCGATCCCACTTCATGATCATAAGTCGAGGACTAACCGTATACCCCAGTTTCAACTGTAATTGTTGAGCTCTTTGGTTTTATAGAGAAAAATTAATTTCAGATCATAAACAACTTTGGAGGGTTTCCAGGGGGCCATGTCGACATTTAAGGGACTTACGTGTTGCCATTCGATCCCCTCGCGCTGGTATTCCTGCTGTTCCTGCTGGAGGATCAACTCGATGAAGAGCTGCTGAAGTTTCTCGTTGCAGTAGTTGATACAAAACTGCTCGAAGCTGGAAGAAGAGACTTAGAAGGTCAGGAGTATTGTCCAACAAACCTGCCCCCCCTCAAGCGCCAATCCCTCTACAGGAATTCCTTGCTTAATGATTGATCACTTAACAACTGTTCCAAAGTACGACACACTCAAATAAATCTACATATGACTTTTTGTCAAAGTGTGATAATTCCGCCGGATGTGTTGTGGTTCGTTGACTGCCAGTGTTGTGACTCTGACCACCGAGCCCATCTTATCAGAGGGAGAAGACTCCGAAGGTGAAGGAAAGGAGTTGGCCAGGCCTCCCTCTCCAGGACCCTCCTCTCTGGCAATGCCTCAGGTGTCTCCCGAGGGAGAAGAGATCGGCCAGGAGCCAGGTATCTCTGAACAGTCACAGTTGGACAGTGACGGAGATAAGTCTTGGCTGGATCCACGCCAGCGTTGGAGAGACAAGCGCACGCAGCAGAAAAGGAGGCGTGCCAGAGATTAAGCTGAGTCACTGGACCACACCCCACAGGGAATAAAAGGGGGTGTGGTGGCCATTCAGGCTCTGTGATGGACAAAACTAAACAACTAGCGAGTCGCATTGTATCTCTGAAACTACGTTATCTGCCTGCCTTGGAGTTAATACGGACTGGATTTGACAATTCTTTGACTTTGTGTATTTGTTTTGGTTTATCTGACGGAGGAGGAACACCTCCCTCTGTGAGTAAAGTTCTTGGAAAGCAGCTACTAGGTTGCTGCCAATCCTGTTATCGAAGGAATTTATTGTCTGAAAGTTTTATTTAACCCCTGGCTGATTGTTTGTGTGCGTGTTTGAGACAGGGACAGAACAGCCAGCTCCATAGTCAGATGAGTCAGAGGAGGTGGAGGGGGTGCCAAGGTTAACATCGGAGACTGCGGAAGGCAAGGAGGAGCAAGAGGACTCAGAGCCAGATGCAGAGCAGTGCCCATCTACTCACACTCAGGCAGACAAAGAGCTGTTTTCAGGGCCTGAGCTGAGCGAGGGGGAGGAACAGATGGGGCCCATTCCAGATGTGCGTATATGCAGAGAGAAGAGAGGAGAGCAATGGAGGGCCGGGGGCTGGCTATCCAGGAAAAGAGGGAGACATTAACAAGCCCCTCCCTGGCTGGAAGATAAAGAGGAGGAGCATGGGAGGCAACGGTTGTTGTAGACAACCGTTCGTGCTACAAGAGATGTCCCTCCATTGGATTCCTTTGCCAGGATTACTTCATCAATACCCAGGTAGGTCAGGACTTTTTGTGCTGGGGTTGAAGTGCTAATTGAGCCTCCCTGCGGGGAATTCAGAGACACTGCAATGACCTTAGCCGGTGTGAGTAGAGACTGCTACTGCTTGTTGAAACATGCAAGGTGTCAGACTTCAATGCTATCTCAAAATAAATGAATTTCCAAACTGCCAATCTTTAAGGAAATCTTTTCTTTATTCGAGCACAGCAACCGGATTATGACTCGATGAGGACAAGACTGACCTTTTCCCCCCATCCCTCCCTTTCCGATCCCCAATTATCTGCTTCTCATTGGCTATCTTCCAAGTGACTCTCCTGACTTCTTGTCTCGTCATTTCACAGGAATGTCCCCCCCTCCCTTCATTTCCACGGTGACCGAGCTTCAAAGGGATTTAGCAGGCAAAAGTCCAGGGCTTATCTTGAAATTGCAATTGTACAATCTTCCTTTCTATGTCAGCGGTGAGACGCTGAAACAAGGACTTGATATCTAGAGTTTTGTTTATTTCTGCCTTGTTAAATAAATTCCCCAGTTATCTCTCCAGATGTCAGCTCGGAGGAAGACGAATCAGTTCTAGGCACGTCAGGAAAGAAGTTGGTGAATGGCTGCAAAAGGCCGTCTGAGTGGGGTTTGGCTCAAACACAGCTACAGCAGAGCAGCCCAGAGCAGCTTCGGTGGAGAAAGCATGCAGCTGCAGCCGGCTAGTGATGAGGAAGAGTAACTGCCTTCTGCAACTGATCCAAGAACAGGTAGGGCAGGGAAAAGGCAGGAGCAGAGAAGGTCAGCCCGATCACTCGCCAGGAGGCAGCCTCGCCGCTCTTGACGAGCTGCACCAGGCTATTTAGCACAAGAGAGAGTAGGAAGTGATGCTGGGAACATCATGTTCATTTCCTAGCTGTGTATTTTTTGGTCGTTGTGATTCCCGCCTCGCTTTGGATGCCACACCGTGTCTTGAACTTGGATCGTGCCATGTGAACTCTGGACTTTTCTTTCCTCGGGAACCCGCTTGTATTTTGGATTTAATCTTGCTTGGTGGGTCTATTTGGATGGGGAACCTTTTAAGTGACGTGGCCATTGCTCTGAGGACTAGCATTGGTCTGCCTGTGGCTGGATTTAATTGGGACAGTTCTGGGTTTTAGGTGAAGGGAATTGTGGGGGAATATTGATAAAGCCACTAAACCACAATTACGTGTATGTGTGTGTGTGTGAGAGAGAGAGAGCTGAACAGTACACAAAGTTACAACTGCTGTTGTACAGGCAGTCCTCAACTTATGACCACAATGGAGCCCCAAATGTCTGTCGCTAAGCAAGACAGTTGTTGAGCGAGTTTTGCCCTGTTTTATGACCTTTCCTGCCACCGTTGCTAAGTGAATCACTGCAGTTATGAAGTTAGCAACACGGTCGTTAAATGAAACAGGCTTCCCGATTGTCTTAGCTTCTCAGAACGACCGGTTTCAAATTCCCTTGGTCACTGTCACGTTGTTGTTTTTTGTTAGCTTTTGCCACTTTCCAGCAAAAAAAGTCAATTTGAGAGAATGGATTCACTTAACAACCATGTGGTTCCCTTAACAACCCTTTAATTCATGGAATGACCCTGGTGACTCCCTTTAGGATCATCACAACACAGTCATAAAACTGAGTCTGGCCAGCGACGGCCCATTTAAACAACTGCAACAACTTACGACCAAAATTCCAAGCCCGATTTTTGGTCGTTAAGTGAGGATTGCTTGTACGATCCGAGGATTCCCCTGGTGACTTCTACCTGTTGTTGTCGAAGATCTCAAAGCCATAAATGTCCAAGACACCGATGACTGTATTTTTGCCGTGGATACGAGGATCATAGTCCTTGACAGCGATGATCGCGTTGATACGGGTCACGATCCAACAAAACAGCCGCTCGTAAATAGCCTGCGGACAAACACGGGGACAAGACCACACGGTCGTTGTGCCAGGGATGAATCGAGTTTAAGGTCCCCCCCCACCCCAAATGTCTTCTTCAAGATGCCGTGAAGTCACATCGAGTTGGGTAATAGCAAGGAAATGCAAGATTTTAGATTTCGGAGCTAGTTTGGTCCAATGGTGAAGAAGGCATGCGAGAAAGTGGGAGATGGGAGTTCTAGTCCCACCTTCGCCAGGTAAGTCGGCTCAGTGACGTTGGGCCAGCCACCAAGAGATGTGACTTCTAGTCCTGTCTTAGGCCTGAAAGCCTGGACCAATCACCAGGAGATGGTGATTTCTAGTCCCATGTTAGGAAGGAAAGCCAACTGGGCGACTTTGGGCCAGCCACTAGGAGTAATGAGTTTTAGTCTTGTCTTAGGCCTGAAAACCAGCTGGGTGACCCTGGACCAATCACCAGGAGACAGTGAGTTCTAGTACCATGTTAGGAAAGAAAGCCAACTGGGTGATTTTGGGCCAATCACTAGGAGATAGTGAGTTCTAGTCTACTTTCGACACGAGAACCAATTGGGTGACTTGGGGCCATCTTTCTTTCTCTAAGCTCAAGTCACCTTACAAGGTGGTTGTTGTGGGGAAAATAAGAGGAGGAAGGAATATTAGGTATGTTTGCCACATTATTTGTAAAAAAATAATAAAGGTGGGATATAAATAAAAATAGTAATAAAATAAATAAAAATAAAAATAATAAAGGTAAAATTAAAATAAGATGATAAAAAATATTAAAGATCAATAAAACAAAAATGAAGATAAGATTAAAATAAATAAAATACTAAAGTAAAATAAAATCAAGATAAATAAATAAATAAAATAGGTAAAGTAATATAAAATAAAGTAAAAATGAAATAAAGATTAAAATAAATAAAATACTAACGTAAAATAAAATTAAATCAAGATAAATAAATAAAATATGTAAAGTAATATAAAATAAAATAAAAATGAAATAAAGATAAAAATGAATAAAATACTAAAGTTAAAATAAAATAAGGACAAGATAAATAAGTAAATAAAATATTAAAGTAAAATTAAGTTACATTAAGATAAATAAAATGTAATAAAAAAAATAAAATATAAAATGAAATGAAATGAAAAAATTGAAACCGAAACCGAAACCAAATATCTGCTTATTCTTGAGACCTCTATACAGGTCTCGCCTGGTCTCTCTATCCGTAGGAAAGAAACATTCCTGGCTGACACCCCAAACAGGCACCTGAACAACCGCATCAACATCACCCAAAGCCCCCTCAGACTACGGAAGGCGTCGTGTCCAGCCGAACTCTGCCGTTACCTTGGCGCAAGCATCCCGCGCGTAGTTCGCTTCATCACAACCGTGGCCTTTTTGGATCACCTCCCCACCGCCCGCAGCCACCGTCCGGTACAGGAGGGTGTTCAGGAGGCTCTCTGGCTCGGTGGAAGTCAACTCCGCAAGGTAGGAGACCAGTTGTGGGTCTTCGACGGCCACCTCGTCGCCGGAGCAGATGAAATTCACGTTTCCCTGGAAATTCAGCAGACGAAAAGATCCGTCAGATGTCAAATACATCTAGTCCTCAACTTACAACATTGAGTGACTGTCTGAAGTTAAAATGGCACTGGACAAAAGGGACTTAGGAACTTTTTTCACACTTATGACCTAGGGTCACATGATTTACACTCAGTTTCTTGAAAACTGGCTCACATTAATGACGGTTGCAGGGTCCTGGTGTCACGTCAGTGGTGTGATTCAGCTGGTTCAAGCCAGTTCAGACGAACCGGTAGTTAAATTGCTGGCCAGCCCTGCCCTGCCACTTCCAGGAACCCGTTTTTACTCCCAAGAGGCTGCAGGGAGGCGTACTAGGCCCAAAATGGGGGGCGGTGGGGCCGGCAAATCCCCTCTGCGGCCCGTTTTTGCTCCCAGGGGGGTTCAGGAGGCCGACTGCTGCCTGTCACACCTCCTGGCCACACCCACAATGGCCACGCCCACCCAGCTGGTCATTAGGGCAGAGAATTGGTTGTTAAAATCCCACCACTGGGTCACCTGATCTGCTTTTTTGACCTTCTGACAAGCAAAATCAATGAGGAAGCCAGGTTCACTTAATAACCATGTAACTAATTTAACAATTGCAGGGATTCACTTAACCAATGTTGTGTAAGCATTGGGTTAGTTCAATTAGGCAGGAAAGGGTGAGGAAGAAACTCAAGACTGAGCCACCTTGATTCTCTTGAGCAGTGTTTCTCAACCTTGGTAGCTTGAAGATGGGTGGACTTCAACTCCCAGAATCCCCTGGCTGGGGGATTCTGGGAGTTGAAGTCCACCCATCTTCAAGCTTCCAAGGTTGAGAAACACTGCACTTGAGCGTAAAAGGAGACGGGTACTATCTTCATTAACTTTCAAGATCATATCTTATTACGAGAAAGTTATCTTCTAATTGTACCCTTCATGATAGAAGGAACTTGTCAACCGTTCTGTAAGCATTGTGTGATGACCCGGGGCATGGCACTGAAGCTACGCAGCCAGAGAACAGGTCTAACTCCCCTTTATTGCTCTAACTTTGCCCTCAAATGTCCCCACATTAACTACACATCCTGGCGCGAAGCTCTCACTCGCACCTTCAACAGCCTCTGGCTGCGAGTAGTCCAGTAAGCAAGGTGAGCCAAGCAATAACCGAGGCCAGCAGTCCAGCGAGGTAGGCAAACCGGGCAAGGTACGGAAGACAGAGCACAGTAACCTCCAGATGTCGGCAAGTGCACACGAGGCTCCACAAATTCAACACTTGTTCCCGACAAATGCCCCTCCCCACAGCGTCTCCTTAAGGCTCAGTCCCCAAGTGTGCCTTGTGAAGAAGGGCGTGGCAATCCCGAGTAGCTGGCTCAGTCTGCGCTGTTCTCAGCTTCTCTCTTCTCTCCGTGCTTGAGGATCAGGAGGGGGTGGTCCTTGCTCCTCGCCTGAGCTCTGTCTCTCCTGCTCACTTCTTAGCTTCTCTTGGTCCTCCTGCCTCTGTTTCTCCCTGACTACAAGCCATTCTAATCCTGAAAAGCCCTGGCCTGACTGGCTTTGCCCTTCCCCGTTTTCCTCTGAAGTCAACGAAGCCGACCGCTCGTTCTCTGTCATCTCCCGTTCCAGCTCGGGGCCATGACACATTGGGCTACTTCCAACTAGGCAGGAAAAGTTGAGGAAGAAATTGAAGATTGACTCATCTTGATTTTCTTCAGGATAAAAAGAGACGGGAAGTATCTCTTGTCAGTTTTCAAGATCACGTTATCAAACCCTAATACCAGAAAGTGATATTCTAGTTTGTTCAAATGATGTTGGTTTACTGACCCCGGCAGGCCCACCTCGAAGGGTGAGCCGATAAAATGTCAAATCAAGGTTGTTTACCAAGTGTAAAATGGCTGCCAGGATCTTCTGCACGGAATTGATCTCCTCAGAAGTAAAACCGATCACTTTCATGGCATCCAGGACGGATTGATAGTTGCTTTTCTCACTCTCCAAAGACTTGGGAGGGCAGAAGGTACAACGCCGTCGATGGAGAACAACCAAAGGGGTAAAATAAGAACAAGAATTAATTGGGGGACCTTGGATATTCGCTACTTATTCACCTTACTTATGAATTAATTTGGGGTGCATTCAGCCTTGGGCTGTCTAAACTGATATATTTATTTATTCAATTCAATTCAATTTATATACCGCCCTTCTCCTAGTGGACTATATAGATAGTCCTCGGCTTATGACCACAATGGAGTCTGAAATTTCTGTGACTGAGCAAGACAGTTGTTAAGTGAATTGTGCCCCACTTTACGACCTTTCTTGCCACTGTTAAGTGAGTCACTACATTAAGTTAGTCACGCGATTGTCAAGTGAATCCGGCTTCCCCATTGACTTTGCTTGCCAAGAGTCTGAATTTTGATTATGTGACCATGGGGAGGCTGCAGCAGTCATAAGTGTGAAAAACGGTTGTGAGTCGCATTTTCAGTGCTGTTGTAACTTTGAAATGGTCACTAAATGAACCGCTGCAAATCGAGGACTAGCTGCCCCAATACAAATACTAACACAACTTCTGAGATTTCCAGATTAACTGAGAGGTACTTACAGTCAGTCTTCAACTTACAATCATTCATTTAGTGACCATTTCAAAGTTACAACGGCATTGAAAAAAGTGACCTATGACCGTTTTTCACACTTTATGACCATTACTGCATCCCCATGGTCATGGGATCAAAATTCAGATGTTTGGCAACTGACTCGTACTTATGACGGACGCAGTGTCCCAGGGTCACATGATCCACTTTTGTGACCTTCTGACAAGCAAAGCTCATGAAGAAGCCATATTCACTTCACAACCGTGCTGCTAACTTAACGGCAGCGATTCACTTAACAACCGTGTCATGGAAGGTCATAAAATGGGGCAGAATTCACTTAACAACTGTCTTGATTAACAACAGATGTTTGGGGCTCGATCGTGGTCAGAAGTCTACCTGTACACGAATCTGCCTCTTCGTAACATTTTCCAATTTTCTGTGATTATTTTCCTCACTTGTTTACAGACAATCCACGTTTCTCTATTTCTTATCATCAGAAGGACTTGCCATAGATTCAGCGAAGTGGTACTTACCCTGTTATTACTACCACCTTCCTTGGTAAACCTGTAGGCCATTGGGTCTCCAACCAGGTGGAGAGATTTCAGCTTAGCGTCGGAGGCACCAAGAAGCAACTGGGGGGGAAAAATGACTCGACTTACAACGATTCATTTAGTGACCATTCGACATTACAACAGCACCTAGATTTGGTGAAAAATTTATTAATATGATCAAGGCAAAATATACTAAACAAACTGCAGAAATGATTGTAAATGGCGGCATAACAGAGAAAGTTAATATTAAAAAAGGCAGAAGACAGGGATGTCCATTGTCCCCTTTACTATTCATGTTGACATTGGAAGTGCTAAATAGAAATATTCAGCGTGACGCAGAAATAGAAGGGATGCGGATAAAAAAAGAAAAATACAAACTACAGGCATTTGCAGATGACCTGGGATTTATCATAGAGGAACCGCAAACAACTGGACCCAAATTAACGAAGGAAATAGATGACTATGGGGAAGTTGCAGGATTAAAAATAAACAAAGAGACATTACAACAGTGACTTAGGATCGTTTTTCACACTTATGACCGTTGCAGCATCCCCGTGATCACGGGATCAACATTCAAGACGGTTCGCAACTGACTCATACTTATGACGGTTGCAGGGGATCGTGTGATCCCCTTTTGCGACATTCTGATGGAACTCGCTTAAACAACTGTCTGCAACGGGAATTTTGGTCTCAATTGTTGTCGTAAGTTGAGGACTACCTATCAAGGAAACTACTTAGAACGATCTCAATATGCCTTTCTTGGTTTTTTTCAACTTGATCATCCTCCTTAGATCTAGCAAACATTTTAGTACCCCAGAATGATCCCCATTTAGAGGACATGTGACGGGATCTTGTCTGGCCACCACAATATTCCCAAGGAGTGAGAGTTTCACGAAAGGACAACTCCATCGAAGAGGGTAAGTCCATGTTCCAATTGAGGAATCCCTCAGCTGGACATCTCAGCTTAGACCACGATGGCCACCCTGGTGAGATCTGAATCTCATCCAGAACATTCTGGCTCAGCTGATTGGCCAGGTGTCCTCCAAGAACCAAAGCAAGAAGAAAGAAGGACATTTATGCCTCCTCTACCATAGTAGAAGTCAACTCACCTGGTAGAAGGCATGGAAGTTCCTCTCGCCCGGTTGCTGTTTGAGGACCCGCGACTGCAAGAGAAGGAGAAGGTAAGACGACTTGGGTGGAGACGGGCCTTGGTTCCCAAAGTCAACACGTACAATATGGCAGCTACGGACACCAAGGAAGGCAATCCCACCTTCCGAGGTCCTAATCTGGGAGTTGCAGTCTACTCTTCTGAAACGATGCCACCTTGGGGAATTCTGGGAGTTGAACTCCATCAGGGGTGAAATTCGAAATTTTTCCCTACCGCTTCTGTGGGCGTGGCTTGGTGGCCATGTGACTGGGTGGGTGTGGCCAACTTGATTGGTATCACCCGTAGGAAATTTCTCCTTAGTCCAACTCACAATAAAATAGTATTGTTCCAAGTATTGTTCCTTGGTAGTACAGTGGTCTAAAGCACCCTGTTATTAAGAACAGCTGCCTGCAATTACTGCAGGTTCGAATCTCGCCAAGGCTCAAGGTTGACTCAGCCTTCCATCCTTTCAAAGGTAGGTGAAATGAGGACCCAGTTTGTGGGGGCAATAAGCTGACTTTGTATAAATATACTGTACAAAAGTATGAAGGCTGTTGCTTAACGCATTGTAAGCCGCCCTGAGTCTCCGGAGAAGGACGGCATATAAATCAAATTTAAAAAAATATATAGAATAGAATAGAATAGAATAGAATAGAATAGAATAGAATAGAATAGAATAGAATAGAATAGAATAACAGAGTTGGAAGGGACCTTGGAGGTCTTCTAGTCCAACCCCCTGCCCAGGCAGGAAATCCTACACCACTTCAGACAAATGGTTATCCAACATCTTCTGAAAAACTTCCAGTGTTGGAGCATTCACAGCTTCTGGAGACAAGTTCTTCTACTGATTAATTATTCTAACTGTCAGGAAATTTGTGGGGCTCCTACAAAAATGAGGGAGTTAATCTATTTTCCAAAGCACCAAAAGGCACAATAAGAAACAATGGATGGAAACTAACCAAAGAGAGAAGCAACCTAGGACTTAGGAGAAATATCCTAAGGGTGAAATCAATCAACCAATGGAATAGCTTGCCTTCAGAAGTTGTGCGTGCTCCATCACTAGATGCTTTCAAAAAGAGTGAGGGAAGAACACCCCAAAAGGACAGTGCCAGGAACCACTAAAACAATGCAGAAAACTTAAAACAGCCATTCCCCTTTTTTAAAAAAAAAAGTCAACCCCAAAGCAAACACAGCAGCTGAGAGGGAAACTAAGAGCAGCTGCTCAGTCTAATTGAAAGCCTGGGCATGCTGCCAAAAGCCATTAACCCTTCCAACTCTATTATTCTATGTTCTCTATGTTCTAAATTGGGTGCTTTACAGCAGAAGCAATACTGGATCACACTTGCATTAAATTAAAGCTGCATCATTGTCCAATCCTGTATCTTTTCCCTCAGGAAGAAACAAGAAGTAGCCAACACTCCAGCAGCTATGAAAGATCTTGGGAAACTCCAGGGAGTATCAGCTGATCACAGAAGTGTTACTTAATACTCTTTATAATGAAAATATTTGTAATTTTGTCCTTCTTCCTGAAAGGCAGGATGGGTGATTGATGGGTTTCCCTGCCCTGATCCTGTCAGTTTCTGTTGCTTATTGAAGATTCAGCATGTATCGGCCGCATTCCAGCTGCAACTGTTAAGTGGAGCTATTAACTGAAGGGAGAGAGAGAGAGAGAGAGAGAGAGAGAGAGAGAGAGAGAGAGAGAGGGAGAGAGAGAGAGAGAGAGAGAGAGAGAGAGAGAGAGAGAGAGAGAGAGAGAGAGAGAGAAACCTTGCACTTTATTTTTAACTGGTTCTCCGAGCTGCCTAAGCAATTTACAAACAGTTCGGTCGAACTGATGAGAACCGGATGAATTTCACCTGTGAACTCCACCCTTCTTAACGCTTTCTGGCTGGAGAATTCTGGGAGTTGAAGTCCACCCTTCTTAAAGCATTGTGAGTCGCTTATTCCGAGATGCCCCATTTCTTTTCCATCAATATGGATTTTTGGGTGACCCCGTGATTTGATTCTGACTCAAAAACTCCCAGTTTGATACACACACACACACACACACACACCATACCTTTTCCAACAGGTAGTTGCTGATGTGTCCTCCCGTAGGATCTCCCTTGAAGTCGAAATTGATGTCCATGTATTTGCCGAACCGGCTGGAATTGTCGTTGCGGTTAGTTTTGGCGTTGCCAAAGGCCTCCAGAACGCCATTTGATTTGAGCAGAACATTTTTCACCCTGTAGAAAGTCCGAGAAACACCAAAAAATGACTTAGGGGAGGGAGGGAAGCAAGTAGCGGTTACATCTGGCCTTCATGGGGGATTTTAGGGCTCCTCCTGCCGTTCCCCCCCAACGAAGCCCTCCACTGGCGTATTCTGCTTTTGTTTTGCCGATCCTACCTCACAGGGTTGTTAGGAAGATGTTTAAAAAATGGTGGCGGATCAGATATTTTATTTTACGTATTCCTGGATCTAGAATGGTAGTTAACCATTCTAGTTAACCTTAGCAGCTTAAAGATGGGCTGGGGGATTCTGGGAGTTGAAGCTCACCCATCTTAAAGCTTCCTGGCTAGGGAATTCTGGGAGTTGAAGTCCACCAAATTGCCAAGGTTGTGAAACAAATGGATGGACGAATGGGTATTACCTCTATAGAGCTAATCCTCGACTTACGACCACAACGGAGCCCAAAATTTCCCTTGCAAAGCAAGACCTTTGTTAAGTGACTTTCACCCCGTTTTACAACCTTCCTTGCCGTCGTTAAGCGAATCCCTGCAGTTCTTTAGTGAGTCACACCATTGTTCAGCAAATTCAGCCTCCCCTTGGACTTCGCTCGTCAGAAGGTTGCAAAAGGGGATCGCGTGACCCCGGGGACACTGCGACCGTCATAAATATGAGTCAGTGGCCAGGCGCCTAATTTTGATTAAGTGACCGCGGAGATGCTGCGGCAGTCGTAAGGGTGCAAAAACGGTGCTAAGTCCCTGTTTTTAGGGCGGCTGTAACTTCGGACAGTCGCTAAACGAAGGGTCGTAAGTTGAGGACTACCTGGACTCAACTTACCTTTCCACTTCGGCCCTCTGGCTCGGATTGGTGATGGCGGCGATATATCGCATGATGTATTTACTGGCCTCTGTTTTTCCAGCCCCACTTTCTCCTAAAAGAGACCAAGAAAAGACGTGGATCTCGGTGAGAAATTTGACAACGTTTGCAGATGTTTCATGACCCACTAGAGAACATCATCAGGGCTAAAAGGAGGAGGAAGAGGAGGAGGAGGAGGAGAACTTTGCAGTCCTCGGTGCTCTCAGAGCTGGGTGGTTTCCTTGCAGACCTTTCTTTATCTAATTACCACCAAGCTCAGAAAGCAGTCATTCTCCTCTTCTTCCTCCCCATGCCCTTTGTCTTCTAGCACTGATGACGTTCCCTAGTTGGGTCATGAAACGTCTGCAAGAAAACCACCCCGCTCCGAGAGCACCGAGGACCCCACAAAGATTCAGAGATGAGCTTAATCATTTAGTTAATGATTATTAACTTAATTCATTGATTGATTGATGAATTACGACTGGACAGTCACTTGTCTGAAATAGGATCTCCTGTTTGAGCAGGGGGATGGACTAGAAGACTTCCAAGATCCCTTCCAATTCTGTCATTCTGTGATTCGGTAAGGGTCTCCTGCTCAAGCAGAGGGTTGGACTACTTGACCTCCAAGATCCCTTCCAGCTCTATTCTCAGCAATAACTGCATGCAGCTTATATAAGAGAACATCATCATAATGCTGAATCTATTCAACGACGTAGCTAAACATTCTTGAGTTGGTCCATCTCCTTCCTGCACTGGTCTGTTTGGATGCCCTCTAGATGGGCCAATGCCCCACTGAGGCTTGCAAACCATCAAACACTCAATCAGAATAGAGCTGGAAGGGAGCTTGGAGGTCTTCTAGCAGGACAGCCTTAAAGAATCATAGAATAACAGAATAGCAGAATGACTCTTGTTATTCTATAAGGGTCTCTGGCTCAAGCAAGGTGTTGGACTAGATGACCTTTGGAGTACCTTCCAACTGTGTCATTCTTTTAGGGTCTCCTGCTTGAGGAGGGGGCTGGACTAGATAACCTCCGAGGTCCCTTCCAGCTCCGTTCCTGTTCTGACTTGAACCCACCTCCGTAATCCACGTCAAGCCAACCTCCAACCTGACAGATCAAGATGGTCGTTACGACTGGGTAACCCTTTCTTGGATGGGGAAAGAGAGATGTGGGAACCCTACCTGAGATGACCACACAGGTGTCCATGGCCCGTCTCTTCATGGCCTTGTAGGCCGCGTCGGCCACGGCGTAGAGGTGAGGCGGCCTCTCGTAGAGTTCCCGACCCCGGTAATGCTCGATCGCGTCCTTCCCGTAGAGCGACAGAGGTTTGTACGGGTTGACGGAGACCACAACTTCCCCGATGTAGGTGTAGATGCGTCCCTTCTCAAACCTGGTTTGGCCAAAGGTGGAGACATGGTTAAGGAGGCATCTTACAGGTTGACCACGTTTGTGGTGGGGTCACAGCGAGGAGAACTCCACGTGCCCAGAATCGGGGAACAATCTTTGGATCGTTGTGTTGTTTCGTGCTGGACTAACGGTCGCTCAATCTATCCACGGTGAGGGACAAACCACCACTTCTGGTGGCAAGGGTTAATTTCCCTCACCGTGAGGAAATCCCTCTTTCCTTCTAGGTTGCTTCTCTCCTGGATGGGTTTCCATCTGTTGCTTCTACTTCTGCCTTCAGGGGCTTTGGAGAAGAGGTGGATCCAGAGGTGAAATCTGAACAGGTTTACTACCACATGCTCAGTGCGCACCAAAAGGTAGCTTGGGAAGGTAAGTAGAACAGTACGGGGGTGTGTGATCAGCTGTGGCGCATGTGGGAACCTTTTAAAAAACTTTTTAAAAGCATTTTTTATTACCTGCTCGGGCGAATAGGTAGTAAAAAATGCTTTTAAAAAGTAAAAAAAAAGGCTCCGGGGATCGCGCGGCAGAGCTGTTATCGGCGGAGCCTTTTTTTTTTTTTTTTACTTTTGTAAAGCATTTTTTTTACTACCTATTTGCCCAAACCGGTAGTTAAAAAAATAAGTTCCAACGATCAGCTGGATCGTCGGAACTTTTTTTATTTAAAATTTTAAAGCATTTTTAACTACTGGTTCCGGAAAACCGGTAGTAAAAAAAAATGCTAAAAAAGTAAAAAGAAAAAACATTCTGACAATCTCGCATTGCTTAGCTCAGTGTTTCTCAACCTTCGAAGCTTGAAGATGGGTGGACTTCAACTCCCAGAATCCCCCAGCCAGCAGCGCTGGCTGGGGGATTCTGGGAGTTGAAGTCCATCCATCTTCAAGCTACCAAGGTTGAGAAACACTGCCTTAGCTGATCGTTGGAATTTATTTTAAAACATTTTTTATTACCGGTTCAGGCGAACCGGCCCGAACTGATAAGCATTTCACCCCTGGATGGATCCCTCTCCATACGGGAATACAGGAAAGACCCCCCTAGTCCTTCTGTCCCTGAGACGAGACAGGAAGTCCTTGACTTACAACCGTTCGTTGAGTGGACCCGTGACCGTTTTTCACACATTGCAAAATTCAGCTCGGCAGTTGACTTGTATTTATGACGGACGCCGCGTCCCTGGAGTCACGTGATCCCCTTCCAAACAAGCAATGTCAATGGGGAAGCCAAATTTACTTAACGACCATGGGACGAACGTAACTGCTGCATGGATTTGCATAAGAATGGCAGCAGGAAAGGTCATAAAGTGAGTCAAAACTCACTTAGCAACTTGTCTGACTCAGCGACGGAAATTCCAGACTCTGAAATTTGCGGCCGTAAATTGAGGACTATCTGTACAGAGGCAATATGCATCTATCCATGCGTTCATCCACTCGCTTAACAACGGTGTCAACAAAGCTCACAAAACAGGGCAACATTCTCTTTGCACTTCTTTCTCGCTTAGCGATGGAAATTTGGGACACAATTCTAGACATTCAGAGGGGACCACAGTCAGTCCTCTACTTACGACCACAAATGAGCCCCAAATTTTGGTCATTAAATGAGAACTTACTTAATTAAATGAGGTTTGTCTCATTGTATGACCTTCCTTGCCACTGTTGCTAAGTGAATCCTGGCAGTTGATAAGCTAGAAATCTGGTTGTTAAGTGAATCGGGCTTGTCAGATGGTCACAAAAAGGGATCACGTAACCCCAGGATGCTGCAACCGTTATAAATACAAGTCGGTTGCCGAGCATCTGTATTTTGATCCCGGAACTGCGACAGTCATAAGTGTGAAAAATGCTCCTTTTTTCAGTGCCGGCGTCATTAAACAAATGGTTGTGTGAAAAAAAGTCATTTTTTCCAGTGCCGTCGTAACTTGGAACGGTCTTTAAATGAACCACTGTAAGTCGAGGACTCACCGTATTAGTATGGGGGAGTTGGCTTTTTTTTTTTTTAGCAAATGGAACAAAGAAATAAAATGAAAAAATAAATATGGAAAAGAGAAGCGAAGGCAGGCAGGCCCCGAGTGCGAGTGGCGCGTTTCCTGATTTCAAAATTAGCTCTGACTTGAGTCATTTCAATTCCGTCTCGGCCTTCTGCTTCCTCTGACAGGATCCAATATGAGCCACCACTCCCTCCGTCTAAGGAGGTGACTTCACAAACACTTTCTGGCTCGGAATAAACCCGGTTAGTTTGAAAAAGGGGGTTTGCCTGATGTTGTTTTAGTTGCCATGTTTCTCAAACAGAGCGATTTTAAGAAAGGTGGACTTCCACTCCCAGAATTCCCCCGCTTGCATGAAGTCCAGAGATCTTATAGGATGCCGGCTGGGGGATTCTGGGAGTTGAAGTCCACCCCTCTTAAAGCATGCCACCACCCAGGGAATTATTTTATTTATTATTTATTTATTTATTTTATTAGATTTCTATACCGCCCTACTCCCGAAGGACTCAGGGCGGTGCACAGCCAAACAATAAAAACACATACAATACAAAATTTAAAATAGAATAAAATCAAATTAAATAATTTTGGCCCTGACAAATTTAAAACCCCAAACTTTTAAAACCAATTTAAAATTGAATATATAAAATACTAAAAGATATTTAAAATTTTAAAAATCTTTTATAAAAGAGGGGGAAAATTAGGCCAGGATGCCGCATTATAACCAATGCGGCATCCTTCTGGTCACATGGTCAAAATTTGGCTGCAAAATTTGGTCGCAGCCTCCTCAGATCACCATTCCTGGCCAACTCGACAAGCAAAGCCAAGGGGGGGGGGGACTGGATTTACTTAATGACCCCCTGATTCACTTAACAACTGGCTTTAGCAACTTTAGCAAGTGGTGACTGACAACTCTGAAAACCTTGAATTTTAAGAATGAATACAGGTAGGCATCCTAATGACTCTTGTGGTCCTTCCTCCTCTTCTCTTCCCCACAACGACAACCTTGTGAGGTGGATTGGGCTGAGAGAGAGAGAGAGGGGGGGGGATTGGCCCAAAGTCACCCATCAGGCTTTCATACCTAAGGCGGGATTAGAACTCACGTCACCTGGTGATTGGCCCAAAGTCACCCAGTTTGATTTCTTGCTTAAGGCGGGACTAGAACTCATCGTTGCCTGGTGATTGGTCCAAAGTCATCCAGTTTGATTTCTTGCTTAAGGCGGGACTAGAACTCACAGTTGCCTGGTGATTGGACCAAAGTCCCCTCACTGGCTTTGATACCTAAGATGGAACTAGAACTCACAATCTCCCAGTGATTGGCCCCAAGTCACCCAGCTGGCTTTCATGCCTAAGGCGGGACTAGAACTCACCACCGCCTAGTTTCTAGCTTGCCTTAACCACCAGAACAAACTAATTTCCAGTTTAGGGTTGCCCAGAAGTTTCAGGGCTGCCCAGAAGTTTCAGTTTGACGGAAAGGTGGACTTTCCCACTAATGTGGGCTACAACTCTTTGCCCTAAAGACACTGCCAAGCTCCAGGTTCTGAAGAACAAGATGAGGGACCTCCATTGGGAAGCCATCAATGACACAGATCTCCATCAAGGCTATGAACTTTTCCAGAAATCCCTACCTGGCTATTCTGAGTCCCTCAAAAGATCTTGAAGCCACCAATGGCCCAGACCACTTGACTTCTTCTCAGAAACAAGACACATCGTTCGCTGCCTTTCCCCCTTCTGAACCTTACCTGAGCTTCAGGTTCTCCAGGAAGTCCTCCATGGTCACTTGGTCCAAGAGGACAAAATCAGCTTTCCCAAATTCTAGACTCTCTTGCTCTGCCATGTTCCCGGAGAAGTTAGTCCGTTTGCCAGGACAGACAACCGTCCTCGCTCGTCAGTGGAAAGAAGGGTGAGTCAAGTAGGGTGATTTCCGTCTCAGTGAGAAGGTGGAGCTTGTGGTTTGCAGAGCTAACAGCTTTGTTGCAGGTTCACTTCCTTGATCGTTGTTTCTCTATGGGTGGATCTTATAGGATGGATGGATTCTCCTGGAGAAGAGGGTCTCAAAGTCCTCAATGGAGAACCTAAACCCTAAACCCCGGAGAATATGGGAGAACTTCATTAAGAGACCACCATAGAAGGCATCTAATGTCCTCCAGAGAATGGATCTTATAGGATGGATGGATCCCTCTGGAGAAGAAGTCCTCCATAGAGAACCTAAACCCTGGAGAACTTGGAGAATTTTATAGCAGGCCAACAGAAAATGTCCTCCAGAAAATGGATCTGATATGATATAATGTCCTCAACAGAACAGATCTTATAGGATGGATGGATCCTCTGGAGGGGAGGGTCTCAAACTCCTTCATGGAGAACCTAAATCCTAATCCCTGGAAAACTTGGAAAACTTCATTAGGAGACCACCATAGAAGGCATCTAAAGTCTTCCAGAGAACAAGATCTTATAGGATGGATGGATCCCTCTGGAGAAGAGGTCTCAAAGTTTTCTATGGAGAACATAAACCCTGGAGAACTTGGAGAATTTCATAGCAGGCCACCAGAAAATGCCCTCCAGAGAATGGATATGATAGGATCTAATGTCCTCAACAGAATGGATTTTATAGGATGGATGGATCCCTCTTAAGAAGAGGTCTCTAAGTCCACCACAGAGAACCTAAACCCTAAACCCCAGAGAAGTTGGAGAACGTCATAGAAGGCCACCAGAGAAACCGAATATCCTCCAGAGACAGCAAAGCTATGAAGAGGTCCAGGAACATGACTGCTGTGGTTCAGACAGTCGCTTCTGACTTGTTCGAGACATAAACTATGGTCTGTTTCCATTGTAAATTTGGAAGGTGGATCAAGAGATTTCTCCTTGAATGATGGATGTCAAGCCCAAGGCATGGAAAGGTCCCACCTGAAATGTCTCCTTTGTTTCCTCTTCATTGTGGCTTCAAGATCAAAGAGCTTAGCCAGGTGGGACAGGAAGCACAATGCTGTGACAAGGAACCCACAACCACATTTACCACACAGAAGTATAAGGAGAGGCAACCACCCTATCACAACACAACGGGAACAACAAGGCAACGGAATCCAAAACTTCCTTGATTTCTCCACCGTTGGCAGGTCTTGGAGACCACTTCCACCCCATCTTTTCCTCACAACCCGCATTTGTGTGCTCTTCATTTGGCATTGCTCCGTCAAATGCTATTGTTTCACCGAGCAGGGCTGGCCTAATGTGATTTTATTTATTTATTTGTTTGTTTGTTTAAATTTCTATACCGCCCTTCTCCAATATAGGACTCAGGACGGTGAACAGCCAAAGTAAAAACAAGACATACATACAAAACATACAAAATCTAAAAACTGATTAAAATAATTAAATATCTTGGCCGTAATTAAAACTGTTCCAATTTAAAATCAATTTAAAATTTGACTCAAGCCAGCCCAGCTAGTTGAAATAAATGGGTTTTCAGGGCCCGACGAAAAATCCGGAGGTCTGTTATTGTACGTAACTCTGGGGGGAGGTTGTTCCAGAGGGTGGGCGCCACCACAGAGAAGGCTCTCCCCCTGGGGGTCGCCAGCCGACATTGTCTGGCGGACGGCACCCTGAGGAGGCCCACTCTGTGTGAGCGTACTGGCCAGTGGGAGGCTATTGGTGGCAGAAGGCGGTCTCGTAAGTACCCCGGCCCTAAGCCATGGAGCGCTTTAAAGGTGGTCACCAACACCTTGAAGCGCACCCGGAAGACCACCGGGAGCCAGTGCAGCTCGCGCAGGAGAGGTGTCACATGGGAGCGCCTCGTCGCCCCCATAATCCCCCGCGCGGCCGCGTTCTGGACCAGCTGGAGCCTCCGGGTGCACCCCAGGGGGAGCCCCATGTAGAGAGCGTTGCAGTAGTCCAGGCGGGAAGTGACGAGTGCCTGAGTGACTGTGCGTAGGGAGTCCCGATCTAGAAAGGGGCGCAACTGGCGTATCAGGCGAACCTGATAGAAAGCCCCCCTGGCCACGGCCGCCAAATGATCTTCTAAAGACAGCCGTGTGTCCAGGAGGACGCCCAAGTTACGAGCCCTCTCCGTGGGGGCGAGTGATTCACCCCCAATAGCCAGCGATGGCATCAGCTGACTATATCGGGACGCCGGAAGCCACAGCCACTCGGTCTTGGAGGGGTTGAGTCGGAGCCTGTTTCTCCCCATCCAGGCCCGCACGGCCTCCAGGCACTGGGACATCACTTCAAGGGCATCGTTGGGGTGGCCTGGGGTGGAGATGTACAGCTGGGTGTCATCAGCGTACTGATGGAACTCCACCCCGAAGCCACGGATGATCTCACCCAGCGGCTTTACATAAATGTTGAACAGAAGGGGCGAGAGGACCGACCCTTGTGGCACCCCACAAGCAAGGTGCCTCGGGGTCAACCGCTGCCCCCCTGTCAACACAGATTGCGACCGGTCAGAGAGGTAGGAGGAGAACCACCGCAGAATGGTGCCCCCCACCCCCAACCCCGCCAACCGGTGCAACATGATACCATGGTCGATGGTATCAAAAGCCGCTGAGAGGTCTAACAGGACCAGGATAGAGGAGCAACCCCTATCCCGGGCCCTCTAGAGATCATCCACCAATGCGACCAATGCCGTTTCCATGCTGTGCCCAGGCTGGAAGCCGGACTGGAGTGGGTCTAGATAGACAGCTTCATCCAGGTACCGGGGAAGCTGTTGCGCCACCACACTCTCAACAACCTTCGCAACGAAGCGAAGGTTGGAGACTGGACGATAGTTAGCCAAAACAGCTGGATCCAGAGAGGGCTTCTTGAGGAGGGGCCTCACCACCGCTTCTTTCAAAGCGGCCGGCAGGACCCCCTCACCCAAAGAAGCGTTAACAATCTTCTGGAGCCAGCCTCGTGTCACCTCCCGGGAAGCCAGTACCAACCAGGAGGGACACGGGTCCAATAAACATGTGGTCGCGTTCAGCCGTCCCAGGACCCTGTCCATGTCCTCGGGAGCCACAGGATCGAACTCCCCCCAGATAACACTCTCAAGACCTGCCTCAGTCATCCCATCCGGACATACCCAGTCAGAGGCCAGCCCTTCCCGAATCTGAGCGATTTTGTCATACAGATACTGCACAAAATCCTCAGCTCGACCCTGCAAGGGGTCATCCCGCACTTCCAGATGGAGGAGGGAGCGGGTCACCCTAAACAGGGCGGCCGGGCGATCATCTGATGACGCGATAAGAGCGGCAAAATAGCTAGTTTTCGCCGCTTTTATCGCCACTAGGTAGGTCTTAATATGAGACCTCACCAGTGTTCGGTCAGGTTCGGAGCGGCTGGTCCTCCAACTACTCTCCAGGCGTCTTTTCCGGCGCTTCATCTCCCTAAGCTCCTTGGAGAACCAAGGAGCCAGGTGGGTTCGGTGCCGGGTCAGAGGCCGCAAAGGCACGACTCGGTCCAAAGCCCCGGCAGCCGCACTATCCCAGGCGGCCACCAGGTCCTCAGCCGAGTCATGAGCCAGAATCTCAGGAAATGGCCCAAGCTCCATCTGGAACCTATCAGGGTCCATCAGGCGCCTGGGGCGGAACCACCTGGTCGGTCCCGCCTCCCTGCGGCGGGGTGCAGCGGTTAGAAAGTCCAGTCGAAGGAGCGAGTGGTCAGTCCATGACAAGGGTTCAGTATCTATATCCCCTATATCAAGGCCACTCAACCACTGACCAGAGACAAAAACTAAGTCCAGAGTGTGTCCCCCTGTGTGAGTGGGGTCATGAATTAACTGAGTAAGGTCCATGGCCGTCATGGAAGCCATGAACTCTCGAGCCACTTCAGACGTTTCACCGATAGATGGCAGGTTGAAATCCCCCATGATGACAAGTCTGGGGGTGTCCACCGCCACCTCGGCTATAACGTTAAGCAGCTCGGGCAGGGCCGTTGCCACGTGGCAGGGAGCCAGGTACGTGACCAACAAGCCCATCTGTACTCCACGACCCCACTTCACAAAGAGGGACTCACATCCGGCTATCTGTGGAACAGTGGTCTCCCTCGGATCAAGACCTTCCTTTATAATAACCGCCACCCCCCCGCCCCTACCCTGAGCCCTCGGCTGATGAAATGCACGGAAGCCTGGTGGGCATATATCCACAAGAGGGACTCCCCCCTCCTGGCCCAACCAGGTCTCCGTAATGCCCGCCAGGTCCGCCTCCCCCTCCTGAATAAGATCGTGGATGAGGGGGGCTTTATTAACAACGGACCTGGCATTGCATAACATCAGCCGGAGGCTCTGGCCCTGAGAATCTGGACAACCTGGGGAACAAGAAAAGCATTTTAATGGGTTGTCTTTATTTTAGCTTTTTCGGCCAAATTATTTAATATTTTTAATTCGTCTTTTAACTTTGATATTGTTGTGGGTTTTATCTCTGGCTGAGTCTTCCGGGAGAAGGGCGGTATAAAAATTTAATAAAATAAATAAATAAACACAAAAATCTCCTTGACTGAACGCAAAATTAGAACGAATTCCCGTGGGCCATTCACTACATTTTAATCGGTCAGCTTTGTCTGTGGTGTGGGACAACCTTGCAGAGTTTAGTTGTGGCTCTGGAAACCACTCTTACCTACACACTACAAACGCACACAAAGGCAGACATACAGACACAACCAATCTGTCATCCATGCCCTCGTCACTTCCCGTCTGGACTACTGCAATGCTCTCTACATGGGGCTCCCCTTGAGAGGCACCCGGAGGCTCCAACTGGTGCAGAATGCGGCCGCGCGGGTGATAATGGGGGCGACTCGTCGTTCCCATGTAACACCTCTTACGCGAGCTGCACGGGCTCCCGGTGGTCTTCCGGATGCGTTGGTCACTACCTTTAAAGCGCTCCATGGCTTAGGGCCTGGATATTTACAGGACCGCCTGCTGCCACTGACTGCCTCCTACTGACCGATACCCTCCCACAGAGAGGGGCTCCTCCGGGTGCCGTCGGCCAAACAATGTCGACTGGCGACTCCCAGGGGGAGGGCCTTCTCTGTGGGGGCTCCTGCCCTATGGAATGAATTGCCCCCGGATATACGAAGGATCCTCTGACCTCCGCGCCTTCCGTCATGCGTTGAAGACCCTGTTATTCCAGCAAGCCGCTCTGATGGGACAATAATTTTAATCGGGTTTTAAATACGGGTTTTTAACATGGTTTTATAGGGGGTTGTAGAATGGGAATTTTAAATTCGGCCAAAAATTGAATTGTTTTAATATGGTTTTTAAATTTGTCTTGTATATTGTTTTATTATGGCTGTTCACCACCCTGAGTC